AAAGCTCCGGTCATAAACGATTTTCACACGCCGCTATATATATAGCACATGCAAATGCAGACGCCTCAACCCATTTCACAAGGTTGCCTCCGAAACTTTTGAAAAGTGCTTGGGGGCCGGGATGTCCGTGCCACGGTTCTGGGCTGCTGGAACGGCAAGAAGCTACAAAGCTAGTTTGGACTGAACCCCTGAAGTCTAAAGCTCCAACCCTTTTGCAGCCAGGTCTCTGATGCTAGCCGGGTTACAATGCCGTGCGCAAGGCTTACAGCACGCTTATAGAACAAACCCGTTTTTGCATCCAGGCCTATTGCGACTGCCGGGAACCCTGAAGAAACCCTGAACCTCAGAACCCGAAAGCCCTCGACCCAGAAACCTCTCAACCCCTCGAAGCCCTCCAAGCAACGCCAAACTCTCCACTGAAAAACCCTGCGGCCAGCGCTGCCAGGAAACGTCGCAGTTGAAACTCCGCACCAAAGCACACAGAAATGTGTAGGAGTCGGAACCTGCCCGGACAGCTCAGGTCGGAAGGACGAGGTAAAAATATTTATCCTCTTTGGGGTTTGGGGTTTAGGGTTGGTTTAGGGTTTAGGATTTAGGGTTTAGGGTTGTTCAACCCTTGTCTTCTCTGGCTTTTCGTGCTGCTCCCTGTCGGCTACATCACTGTTACTATCAGCACACTGCTGATATCATTCACTACTACACTACTACTGTACCCCTACTATCAAGGGTGTTCAAGTATCCTTAGTCTACCATGCCTTCAGAAACATCACTGACAGCAACGCGCTGAAAAATGCGAAGGATACTCTAGTTCTAACTAAAACAGCGACTACACTGCTACAACTACAGTACTGGCGTGCAGCATTACCGTCATGTTCTGAGCCATGTCTGCCGTTTCATTGGGAATATCACAATCCAGATTGCCGGTCATGGATTTACGATTTCCGGCGTGCTTTAAATCCCGAACTGTGGCACGGCATGTCCCATGGCAGCACTGCAAAGGTAGCAGCTGGGAGCAGCACAGACGCGCATGTCGTGACCTCCGCATGGTCGCGACTGCATTCACTTTAGTGAACTCAGAATACCAACAAACGCCAGCCGGTCAGGATCACACCGATGACGTGAACGGCGACATGAGTCATCGATCGTTGTCTTTGATTGTGAGAGTGAGGTTCTACTTCTTTTCAAGAACGGAGAAAGTGGAAGGACTAGTCGAACAAAGGATATCAGCTTGCGTTACTTTTACACGTGCCTCTGTGTGTTGAATTTTTGGCTCCTGCATGGCAGTCCCGGAATTCTACGTTCTGTGCGCTGTGTTGCAATGACGACTGTGATGAAAAGAAAAAAAAGCTCAGCCAAACGACGTCCACGCGAGAAGCAGTTGGAAAATTCTGCATCAATCAGCCGTATGCGAAGCAACTGCAGCCTTATGACCTGTCACTCGCCAGCCTCTGTTCCAAGTTTGCGGAGAACAACGGCGTTTACAGTGTGGCGTCATGATCTTTTGATTGTGCTGATGGTCATGACCAAGATAGAGAAACGGCCGTGATTGTGTTCCCGCACCTGCGTCTTCCTCGGACCATGTCATCTTCCGCAAGTTCCAAGCCGCGTGAAAGTAATATAGGGGCCTTGATAATTAGAATGGGGTTTGGGGCCCATTGTACTATAATTATAAGAAGGAAACCCCCCAACATAGTACAGGTAATTATTAAGGCCCCTATATTACTCAGCCACTGCTCTCGGGCTCTTGCCATCCATCAGCGAGAGCAAGCGCGGGATCAGCTGGTCCGGCCATTCCGGACCTTGCGTTTAGGGTTTAGGGTTTAGGGTTTAGGGTTCAAGTGTTCTGGCGGCACTTCAAATCCCATGACAACACTGGAGCCAAGCGGGGGGCCCATGCGGCTCAGTTCTCACATTGCCTATGCAACCCGCGAAGCTCGGGGATTTAGGGTTTGGGGCTTTTTGCGCTGTCGGTTTGAGGTTTATGGGTCGCATGCACATTGCCTGCGTACTCCTCCTCAACCAGCGCCGAGAAGGCTGAAAGAGCCACCCGCTGCACCTGCTGCTTTGTATCCCAGAGTCTGCAACTGTCGGAACAGGACTCGTATGTGCGAGATTGGCACAATCTATATAATCGGTGCTGTCTGCTCACGTGCAAGTTTCAACACTCAGGAGCACGAAGCTTTTTGGGATTGTTGCTGTGACTCGGCTGGCGGTGGCTAGCATGAGCCTGTGACAAGATATATATCATCTGTGTAACCGTCCTGCTAGTCAGAAACTCTGAGTCCCACTAATTCATATTGTTCTTGGTGAATCCTGCAAAGATTTGCAAGACCATGTCACGCCACATACGGCCTTCAGGAGGTCTCGAACAGCCCTCCCCCCCATGCCCACCAGCGGTCGTCGCTGTGACTCCAGCAGCGAGTGGAAGGTCTTCGTGATGTCTTCCTCCGGGCTCTAAACCTTTACGGGTTCAGGGTCGCAACCTGCGTTGACAATGAAATCAGAAAACTCCTGGACAAATCTGAAGGCCCAAGAGCAAGCGCCGGGATCTGGGGTTGTAGTGCCGGCTTTGAATTTTAGGGTTTTGGGTTTAGGGGTTAAATGGGGTTAAATTTGAGGCCTCACTGCTTTATGCTGTCGATTCTGACATGGCTCACATGAAAAATATCCGCGTGCTGCTTCCAACGAACCGCCGTGTCCTGGTACTTCGGGTTCGAGCGGAACAGCTCGCAGAGCAGCAGACCCGCGCACTTCAGAGTTTCCCATTTCAGCCCATCGAGGATGCACTCCTGGGGCGTGTTAGGGGCCTTGTAATGTTTAATTAGAAGAAGGGATTTGGGGGTAGATTATACTACAATGATAATGAGGAACCCCAGCGTTACGAGTTTGGGTTCCTCATCGGGTGTTGTTGCCTTGGGAAGGTCGTTCACTTGGCTGCAACGTTTGCATCGGTGCACGCCCAGGGGCCCTGAACGCTGAACATCGCTGAACCCCGACGCTTGCACGCAAGTTGTCAACGCTTGCACGCCCGGTATAAGGTTGAAACCTGAAGCCTTAAACTTGCCTCAAGCCTACACCTTGAACCTTAAGGCGCAAACCCAAAGCTTTGATGTTGAAACCTTCATCCACGACCTCACGGTCGCTGTCGAATGCCGTCCGACCCGAACTAAAACCGAGGGGAAGCCCTGCCTGCAACTTCAACCTGAGCCCTGTTTAGCCGTGAAGGCTCAAGGGCTAGAAAGGTTTTTATGATTTCCGGAATTGGACCCCACGGTTGAGGGTCTCTGCGCTCACACTCGGACATGCCAGGCGTGAAGTTCTTGCTACATTCATTCCTTATGCGAGGAGCCCAGTCTGGGGGCGTCAAGTACGAGTACACATGCCCAAAAACGATTGAATCTTGATGCTACGGTTACACGGGATTCCAAAAGTGGGACTTCATGTCATCGACCATTTGCCACTTCTGGCGGGTCCAACTGCCAGCCCACCGCGGTTTCCACCAAATTTTTCTAGAAACACTTCAGCTGGCAAATTTGTGCCCTCAGTCTGTGTTCCCTGCCTTTTCGAGTCCAAGTCCAATCTCTTGTGGCAAGAAATTGGACTTGGACTCGAAAAACAATTTAGGCAGAGTCCATACACGAGGTTCCTGCGGAGATATCTCCACAAGTTGTGGAGATATCTTAAACGCTGCATTTTTGAGCCAACATGCCCTCTTATGTAGGGTTTTGAGTCTAGGACAGCCGGGAAACCATAACAGAAGGGTATCGAGCTCGCAGGGCAAGTTGAGGGGTTTTAACATTTGGGTTTCGGTTGGCGCATCTGGGTTCTCGTCTTGGTGTAGTGTCGTTTGGACAGATTATAGCATTTAAGGCGCATCCTTCGGTACCGAGGTGCTGTCAGGTGCGGGATCAAGCCCTTGGAGCACAGCACCTGGTGCAGCTGACATTGGAAGCCAGCTGGAAATTCAAAAGCCCGAAAGAAAGATGCAATGATTGTGACGTCATCTGGGCCGGCAAGACCCCATCGCAACAACAGAAATCGCACAAAAAAATCAAACCTTTGCCCCTTTGCTAGAGCGATTCTAATGGTAGCAACAGCAACAATCCCATCTTCCGCCTTTAAACTTCTCAATCTCAATGTCCTGGAATCCTGCCTCCGACCCATCATTCGTGCAGCCGTGTGCTGGCGGTGATGGCGGTGATGGCGGTGATGGTGGTGATCGTAATGATCGTGGTAAGTTTCCCCATTACGAATGGGTAAAAACAGTCTGCTCAAGAAGTTGTCAAAAAGAAGATATACAAGTATGAGGATTGGGTGGTTAGCCTAAATATTAATATTCGTAGTAAGATAAACGAGTTTTGGTTTAAATCCAGATATATTTATTAGGGACTTTAATAAAATTGTTGGAACTCTTATGAATGAACCTGTATTTGTCTTAATAGATTAAACAACCTAGCCAGCATAGTTATAGTGTAATTATAATACATAAGCAGTTATATACTATAACTACCACATAGGTATAACATATGGGAAATTCCGAGAAGCCAAGGCTTTGATACAACCCTTAACCCTAAACCCTGAACCAAATTCTATAAGGAACCCCTTGCCCAGTTTGGGTAATAATACCACCTTAGAGAATATATAGTAGTGATTTATTGGGTGGGGTGTAGGGGGGAGTATAGGAATAATCGTCTAATGGGTTGACTGGTGGTATTATTACCCGAAATGGGCAAGGGTTCTGCTAACTATAAGTGTGGTTATAAGTAGGGT